GCCCAGAGGGTGATTAATTGTTTTCTCAGTCAATAAGGGTGAATACCCTCTCCAGACGAACCGGTTCCATTCTGTGATTAATAGATTTTTTTATAAAAAAATGTGTTGTCAATTATTTAACATTTTTTGTACAGTTTAGAAAATAATTTGGAATGGGTAAAAATATGGCAACAGTGAAATGGATGTTGAGAGTTCCTTGGATGTGTCGATCATGGCTTGGTGTGTCGATCATGGGTTGGTGTGTCGACCATGGGTTGGTGTGTCGACCATGGGTTGGTGTGTCGACCATGGCTTGGTGTGTCGACCATGGCTTGGTGTGTCGATCATGGCTTGGTGTGTCGATCATGGCTTGGTGTGTCGATCATGGCTTGGTGTGTCGACCATGGCTTGGTGTGTCGACCATGGCTTGGTGTGTCGACCATGGCTTGGTGTGTCGACCATGGCTTGGTGTGTCGACCATGGCTTGGTGTGTCGATCATGGCTTGGTGTGTCGATCATGGCTTGGTGTGTCGACAATGGCTTGGTGTGTCGATCATGGGTTGGTGTGTCGACCATGGGTTGGTGTGTCGATCAGGGGTTGGTGTGTCGATCATGGATTGGTGTGTCGACCATGGCATGAAATCTGCACTTTGTGAAGCATATAGAACCAAAATTGAAAAAAGAGTGCAATTTGCAACAAGATCAGTATCAGACCTAAGAGGGTTGAGCTATGAGGATAGGTTAAGGGAACTAGATCTCAAAACCCTACAGGACAGAAGGGATATAATCCCAACATACACGATACCGAGGGAAATATACAAGTTGGAGGACAGCCTCGTTAGGCCGAGAGAACATACATGAAAACTGGAAACGTAATTAAGTTGAACAGATGTAAGGAAATGCTCTTACCCTGAACGAACAAGTGAATGTACTAACGGAAGAAGTAGTAGAAGCCAGTCCCATCCTGAGCTAGAGCTCATTTCCACTTATAGGTAAGTTCTGATAGGTAACTTCCTGAGCAGCAGCACCGGAGCACCACCACCACTACCACCACCACCACCACAAGCACCACCAGCACCACCACAACCACCACCACTACCACCACCACACTGTTGCTTCCCAAGTGACAATCAGGATGCCAAGACAGCACTAATTAAATACCTTATTGAAAAAATGATGTCAAAGGGATATCTCTCTTGGACTTCGATGCCTCGACGGTGGCTAGCGTGTCTCCGCCGCCGCTCCGGAGGACACGGACCCCTTCCGAAGGCAGAGCGTGGGAAGAGATGTAGAAATATTTAATAGTCTTGTGGGAAACTGTTTTTTGGGCAATTTTGACAGACGGCAACTCGCTTCCTGACGTGACTCAGACGCCGACGGGAACCAGCGGTAATGATGGTTGTTAGTGTTGTTAGTGTTGTTAGTGTTGTTAGTGCTGTTTGTGTGTTGTGGTTGATGTCTGAGGGCCTCCACCAACCCACCACGGGCCCCGGCCACCAGGTCCACCCACCTCCTATCCTCAACCCACCTGAAATTGAACCCTACCACCCACCCACCTCCCTACACTCCTCTTTCCTAGACACCTCGCCCAGCCATCATTCAGCCCACCTCAACACTCTTTTTAAGTAAAATGTAACAACAGCTTCCGAAGAATTTGTGGTTGAGTGGATAGATTTTATTTTATAACATCTTAAGGTTATCTTAAGATGATTTCGGGGCTTTTTAGTGTCCCCGCGGCCCGGTCCTCGACCAGGCCTCCACCCCCCAGGAAGCAGTCCGTGACAGCTGACTAACACCCAGGCACCTATTTTACTGCTAGGTAACAGGGGCATAGGGTGAAAGAAACTGTGCCCAATGTTTCTCGCCGGCGCCTGGGATCGAACCCAGGACCACAGGATCACAAGTCCAGCGTGCTGTCCGCTCGGCCGACCGACTCCCGACATGTCTACAAGTGGACTCGTCGAGCAGTTGTGACAAAGCTTTTCAAAGACTAAGTTTCTCAAGTCAAAGACAAAGCTTTTTAAGACAAAGTTGTGGAGCTTTTCTTCTCCTTTTTTCGTATGTTGTGTTATATAAGAAGTTATATTTAACACAAAACACAACACTAAACAACGGATATAAATGGGGTAACTTTAGATTTAGAAAAGGCCTGAATAAATAATAGTTTGGAAACCGGGTTGTTTGATTTAGGGAACAAATTATCGGGTAACATAACAGCCGTAGGCACGCTGGTTTGTTTCAAGCGTAGGTTAGACATATGAACGAGTTTGGGTGGATATAAAAAAAATGAACTGCCATGTATGAACCCATATAAAACCTTCTGCAGATTCCCCTAATTCTTTCTTATATGCCGTTAACGAAGAGACTCGGGAAAAAATTCGTTCATAATTCTTAACAACAGCATTTAAGCTTGGTAAGATTTCTCATTCAAGCTCATTTCTCAGTACGAGGGGGGGGGGTAGAAATAGCCTAAGCTACTCTATCCCTTTGAGATGTATTTTTGTTTTTCTTGTCTCAATAAACTTACTTGAACTTCTCAGTACGATGAACGCATTTGTGAAGGTCGCTAATGACCAATTATATGCACTAAAGCAGAGGGGGGGGGGGGGAAGGGAATTGTCGGGAAAGCATCAAGCCATGACGACTATATAGCACTGGGAAGGGATCAGGGTAAGGATTTGGGATGGGATGGGGAGGGAAGGAATAGTGTCCAACCATTTGGACGGTCGGGGATTGAACGCCAACCTGCATGAAGGGAGATGGGGGGGGGGGGTGAAGGGAGACTTCCGCGGTGAGTCAGCCTCGCTGCTTGCTGCCCTGGAGAGGATTTTTGTAGGACAACATTCCTCCCACCTCCTACGGCCCAACCGCTCCCCACCATCCACATGCAACTGGGAGACAAAAGTTAAAGTGAGACATGATTACAACATACAAAATACCTCACTGGAATAGACAAGACCGACAAGCACACATTATTCGGAATGGGTGGCACACGCAAATGAGGGACACAGATGGAATCCAATTACAAAAATTAGACTGTAGATTACCTGTAGACGATTCCGAGAGTTCTCCGATCGTAACTTTGCATGGAGGGTCTGGCTTGGTCATTACCTGACATGTGAGACTCTTGGTATCATGCAAGGCCACTTAGTCATCACAGCCAGGCTGATCAGGTGACGGAAACATGTCAAGTTTGTCCTCCTCCAAGCTGCTTCTCCTCCAACCTGAAACCAACCACTTGGGCTGGACGGTAGAGCGACGGTCTCGCTTCATGCAGGTCGGCGTTCAAGCCCCGACCGTCCAAGTGGTTGGGCACCATTCCTTCCCCGCGTCCCATCCCAAATCCTTATCCTGATCCCTTTCCAGTGCTATATAGTCGCAATGGCTTGGTGCTTTCCCCTGATGATTCCCTTCCCTTCCTCCAACCTGATTCTCCTCCTCCAAGCTGGTTCTCCTCCAAGCTTCTCCTCCTCCAAGCTGCTTCTCCTCCTCCAAGCTTCTTCTGTCGTTCCAGCTATTTTTCTTAATGACCGGAGAGTCGAGGACCTCTGGCGGGGTGAAACCCAAAAAAAAAATGAATTGTCGAGGACAGACTATCATGTTGGCGGGAACCACGCGCCTCCACACGCCTGCAGCCACGCGCCTTCAGTCACCTGCCAGACGCCACCAGCCGGCCGCCACCAGCTTGCCGCCACGCCACCAGTGACGAGTTACCAGCCACCCACCACAACCCACCATCCGGCCGCCGCCACACTCCGCCAAGTCTCCCATTATCCCCTTCCAGCCGCCCGCTGTAGTCGCCAGGAGCCGCCTGCTGTAGTCGCCAGGAGCCGCCTGCTGTAGTCGCCAGGAGCCGCCCGCTGTAGTCGCCAGGAGCCGCCTGCTGTAGTCGCCAGGAGCCGCCTGCTGTAGTCGCCAGGAGCCGCCCGCTGTAGTCGCCAGGAGCCGCCCGCTGTAGTCGCTAGGACCCGCCTGCTGTAGTCGCCAGGAGCCGCCCGCTGTAGTCGCCAGGAGCCGCCTGCTGTAGTCGCCAGGAGCCGCCTGCTGTAGTCGCCAGGAGCCGCCTGCTGTAGTCGCCAGGAGCCGCCCGCTGTAGTCGCCAGGAACCGCCTGCTGTAGTCGCCAGGAACCGCCCGCTGTAGTCGCCAGGAGCCGCCCGCTGTAGTCGCCAGGAGCCTCCCGCTGTAGTCGCCAGGAGCCGCCTGCTGTAGTCGCCAGGAGCCACCCGCTGTAGTCGCCAGGAGCCGCCCGCTGTAGTCGCCAGGAACCGCCCGCTGTAGTCGCCAGGAGCCGCCCGCTGTAGTCGCCAGGAGCCGCCTGCTGTAGTCGCCAGGAACCGCCCGCTGTAGTCGCCAGGAGCCACCCGCTGTAGTCGCCAGGAACCGCCTGCTGTAGTCGCCAGGAACCGCCTGCTGTAGTCGCCAGGAGCCGCCTGCTGTAGTCGCCAGGAACCGCCCGCTGTAGTCGCCAGGAGCCGCCTGCTGTAGTCGCCAGGAACCGCCCGCTATAGTCGCCAGGAGCCGCCTGCTGTAGTCGCCAGGAACCGCCCGCTGTAGTCGCCAGGAACCGCCTGCTGTAGTCGCCAGGAGCCGCCCGCTGTAGTCGCCAGGAGCCGCCTGCTGTAGTCGCCGGGAGCTGCCATTCCGAACACCGTGAATGATTTTACCTTACCTTACCTTACCTTACCTTACCTTACCTTACCTTACCTTCTCTGGCTCATTCCTCCTGTTCTCCTCCTCGCCTCCTTACTCCTTGCAATCATAACTCTCCTTTCAACAGTTTGTGCTCACTGGACTGTACTCCCTGAACTCATTATACTCCGTAAAGTGCTCTGTATACTCATTACAGTAATCATTATACTGCCACAGCTAATTATATTCCTCCCTTGTACTTAACGCACCTTTGTTCATACCCAATAGGTTTGCTGGGAGACTAGGGGGCGCCTCTCCATCACCCGCGATCAAGTGGAGCAAATTCTTAATAACTAGTCTAATCCGTGTTTATTTTTCCCCGGTGGGCAGGTCGTCCAAGAAGAGCTTGCACTCTGTGCACTCAGCCCTGGAGACTTGCAGCGTCCCTGATGGCCAGCTGGGAGGGCGCTCCGTGTCCCTGGTGAGTAACCCCTACCTGGTGTTCACTCGGTGTTCACATGAACGCCCGGTGAACCATCCGTTTAGTTGAAGTCCTTATCCTCGCTACAGTGTCCTCGTTCTTCCTCTGTGTGTGTGTGTGTGTGTGTGTGTGTGTGTGTGTGTGTGTGTGTGTGTGTGTGTGTGTGTGTGTGTGTGTACTCACCTAGTTGTGCTTGCGGGGGTTGAGCTCTGGCTCTTTGGTCCCGCCTCTCAACCGTCAGTCAACAGGTGTACAGATTCCTGAGCCTATTGGGCTCTATCATATCTACACTTGAAACTGTGTATGGAGTCAGCCTCCACGACAGGTGGAGTGTGTGTGTGTGTGTGTGTGTACTCACCTATGTACTCACCTATATGTGCTTGCAGGATCGAGCATTGACTCTTGGATCCCGCCTTTCTAGCTATCGGTTGTTTACAGCAATGACTCCTGTCCCATTTCCCTATCATACCTAGTTTTAAAAGTATGAATATTATTTGCTTCCACAACCTGTTCCCCAAGTGCATTCCATTTTTCTACTACTCTCACGCTAAAAGAAAACTTCCTAACATCTCTGTGACTCATCTGAGTTTCCAGTTTCCACCCATGTCCCCTCGTTCTGTTATTATTACGTGTGAACATTTCATCTATTTCCACTTTGTCAATTCCCCTGAGTATTTTATATGTCCCTATCATATCTCCTCTCTCCCTTCTTTTCTCTAGTGTCGTAAGGTTCAGTTCCTTCAGCCGCTCTTCATATCCCATCCCTCGTAGCTCTGGGACAAGCCTCGTCGCAAACCTCTGAACCTTCTCCAGTTTCTTTATGTGTTTCTTCAGGTGGGGGCTCCATGATGGCGCGGCATACTCTAAGACGGATCTCACGTAGGCAGTGTAAAGCGCCCTAAAAGCTTCCTCATTTAGGTTTCTGAATGAAGTTCTAATTTTCGCCAGTGTAGAGTACGCTGCTGTCGTTATCCTATTTATATGTGCCTCAGGAGTTAGATTAGGTGTCACATCCACTCCCAGGTCTCTTTCTCGAATCGTTGTGTGTGTGTGTGTGTGTGTGTGTGTGTGTGTGTGTGTGTGTGTGTGTGTGTGTGTTCTGATCTGCGCATAGCGGTAAAACAAACGGTTCATTTGTTCATCTACTAGTTCATCTACTAGTCTATTTGTTCATCTACTAGTCTCAGGATTCTCGGTTTGTACACGAATGATCTGGAGTGTAGCCCAATGTCTCTCGGTAGTTAATACAGTCAGTGGCTGTTGAATTGTATGCCTTATATTGCTCAACTAATTTTATACCTTTTCTTTAAATCTAGTGATGTTGCCTTCCTGAACTCACATTTCATTTGCTTCGTTTTATCTAACAGAAAACCTGTTGAATAATTCACCATTCTCGTGCAGGCGATGAGTCACAATAACGTGGCTAAAGTATGTTGACCAGACCACATACTTGAATGTGAAGGGACGACGACGTTTCGGTCCGTCCTGGACCATTCTCGAAGTCGATTGAGACGGACCGAAACGTCGTCGTCCTTTCACATTCTAGTGTGTGGTGTGGTCAACCATTCTCGTTTTCTCTCACCATCGAATAAAGCAGGGGCATAAATCACGAGCAACGTACTGCACAAAAGTGCAGCAACGCAACTGCACTTTCTTCTGTGCTGTAGCAACGCGCGTTGATGCTGTGATCAACCACGACTTTGGTTGGTTGACTGCCATGTAGTGTAGATAGGTTGGGTCTGGGTGTTCTTCCTCTGTCCTCCAGTTGTATTTTGTAATTTGATGTTGGGCTTTGAGTCCCCAGACGACCAAGAGGAGCCCTAAGCCCCCACCAAGAGTCCCCAGACGACCAAGAGGAGCCTTAAGCCCCCCACCAAGAGTCCCCAGACGACCAAGAGGAGCCCTAAGCCCCCACCTAGAGTCCCCAGACGACCAAGAGGAGCCCTAAGCCCCCACCAAGAGTCCCCAGACGACCAAGAGGAGCCCTAAGCCCCCACCAAGAGTCCCCAGACGACCAAGAGGAGCCCTAAGCCCCCACCAAGAGTCCCCAGACGACCAAGAGGAGCCCTAAGCCCCACCAAGAGTCCCCAGACGACCAAGAGGAGCCCTAAGCCCCCACCAAGAGTCCCCAGACGACCAAGAGGAGCCCTAAGCCCCACCAAGAGTCCCCAGACGACCAAGAGGAGCCCTAAGCCCCCACCAAGAGTCCCCAGACGACCAAGAGGAGCCCTAAGCCCCCACCAAGAGTCCCCAGACGACCAAGAGCAGCCCTAAGCCCTCATCAAGAGTTTAAGGCCTATCGCCCTCTGAAAGAATATTAAGGCCACCACCATAGCAAACAGATCAACCAGCAAATATATACCTCTCTCCTCAACATAGTCCGGGACTAAGGTAAACTGTATACACACCCAGAAGTGGTCTACACCTCTCAGTCTATGTCATTATCAATTTAATGTATGAGGACAGCTGCTGGTGTGTTAAACTCTCAACACTACTCACAAGAGGCATACTAGCAGACCTCTCACGGTGCTCAACAGTGTTCTTGATTACTGCTTCTAAAGGTTACCTGATCGTCCAGGCTGTAATTCATACGTCAAGACTGCTAACAGCGGCGTCTAACAGCCTGGTTGACCAGGACACCAGCCAGAAGGCCGCGGGGACATTGCTTCTCCGAACTTCTTCAAGGTAAAGATCTTGCGAAGGTTATCAATACACGCTCTGTTACACATCTTGTATACCCCAGTGGGAGGCCTCCTGTGTACCCCCAGTGGGAGGCATCCTGTGTACCCCCAGTGGGAGGCATCCTGTGTACCCCCAGTGGGAGGCCTCCTGTGTACCCCCAGTGGGAGGCCTCCTGTGTACCCCCAGTGGGAGGCATCCTGTGTACCCCCAGTGGGAGGCATCCTGTGTACCCCCAGTGGGAGGCCTCCTGTGTACCCCCAGTGGGAGGCCTCCTGTGTACCCCCAGTGGGAGGCGTCCTGTGTACCCCCAGTGGGAGGCATCCTGTGTACCCCCAGTGGGAGGCATCCTGTGTACCCCCAGTGGGAGGCCTCCTGTGTACCCCCAGTGGGAGGCATCCTGTGTACCCCCAGTGGGAGGCATCCTGTGTACCCCCAGTGGGAGGCCTCCTGTGTACCCCCAGTGGGAGGCCTCCTGTGTACCCCCAGTGGGAGGCATCCTGTGTACCCCCAGTGGGAGGCATCCTGTGTACCCCCAGTGGGAGGCCTCCTGTGTACCCCCAGTGGGAGGCCTCCTGTGTACCCCCAGTGGGAGGCATCCTGTGTACCCCCAGTGGGAGGCATCCTGTGTACCCCCAGTGGGAGGCCTCCTGTGTACCCCCAGTGGGAGGCCTCCTGTGTACCCCCAGTGGGAGGCGTCCTGTGTACCCCCAGTGGGAGGCATCCTGTGTACCCCCAGTGGGAGGCATCCTGTGTACCCCCAGTGGGAGGCCTCCTGTGTACCCCCAGTGGGAGGCGTCCTGTGTACCCCCAGTGGGAGGCGTCCTGTGTACCCCCAGTGGGAGGCATCCTGTGTACCCCCAGTGGGAGGCATCCTGTGTACCCCCAGTGGGAGGCATCCTGTGTACCCCCAGTGGGAGGCGTCCTGTGTACCCCCAGTGGGAGGCGTCCTGTGTACCCCCAGTGGGAGGCGTCCTGTGTACCCCCAGTGGGAGGCGTCCTGTGTACCCCCAGTGGGAGGCATCCTGTGTACCCCCAGTGGGTGGCGTCCTGTGTACCCCCAGTGGGAGGCGTCCTGTGTACCCCCAGTGGGAGGCATCCTGTGTACCCCCAGTGGGAGGCATCCTGTGTACCCCCAGTGGGAGGCATCCTGTGTACCCCCAGTGGGAGGCGTCCTGTGTACCCCCCGTGGGAGGCGTCCTGTGTACCCCCAGTGGGAGGCGTCCTGTGTACCCCCAGTGGGAGGCATCCTGTGTACCCCCAGTGGGAGGCGTCCTGTGTACCCCCAGTGGGAGGCGTCCTATGTACCCCCCAGTGGGTGGCGTCCTGTGTACCCCCAGTGGGAGGCGTCCTGTGTACCCCCAGTGGGAGGCCTCCTGTGTACCCCCAGTGGGAGGCGTCCTGTGTACCCCCAGTGGGAGGCGTCCTGTGTACCCCCAGTGGGTGGCGTCCTGTGTACCCCCAGTGGGAGGCGTCCTGTGTACCCCCAGTGGGAGGCGTCCTGTGTACCCCCAGTGGGAGGCGTCCTGTGTACCCCCAGTGGGAGGCCTCCTGTGTACCCCCAGTGGGAGGCCTCCTGTGTACCCCCAGTGGGAGGCATCCTGTGTACCCCCAGTGGGAGGCATCCTGTGTACCCCCAGTGGGAGGCGTCCTGTGTACCCCCAGTGGGAGGCGTCCTGTGTACCCCCAGTGGGTGGCCTCCTGTGTACCCCCAGTGGGAGGGCCTCTTGTATAACCCTGCGGGTGGCTCAGGTGTTAATTATTCTCTGGCTGATACGCCCCTCCAGTTCTTAGCTTTTCTCGTTATACCGTTGATAGTTTAATGGGTTGATGGTCGTGTAATTACCTCAGGTTAATACCTTCTTGGTCCCAGGTATCTGGGACACCGGCAGGACCAGCCGGAGCGAAGGAAAAGTTCCAGTCAATTTACTGAGACAATCAAACTCATCACAAAAGAATAAAAGTGTCTAAAGGCTATTTCTACCCTCTATTAAGTCCCTCAAAGAGCTCACAAATCACTATAACATAATGCTGTATATCCTACATGTCACAATTGTTCTAGATCGTTCTAGATAGAAGGGGAGCCGGTCGGCCGAGCGGACAGCACGCTGTACTTGTGATCCTGTGGTCCTGGGTTCGAACCTAGGCGCCGGCGAGAAACAATGGGCAGAGTTTCTTTCACCCTATGCCCCTGTTACCTAGCAGTAAAATAGGTACCTGGGTGTTAGTCAGCTGTCACGGACTGCTTCCTGGGGGTGGAGGCCTGGTCGAGGACCGGGCCGCGGGGACACTAAAAGCCCCGAAATCATCTCAAGATAACC